ACGCTTCTGCGTTGCCAGGAAGGAGAAAGCAATCTCTGTCATTGGGACCAAGAAAGAGACAGACTAGAAGACATCTCCCTACCCCACTTCCTCACATCTTGCCAGGGCCTGCGTTTCTTTCTAGAATCTGGCAGATACTGAAGAATGTTTTAAATCTCACTTACTGCTGGGAAGGGGACCTTAGCCTTTAAAAACAGCCTATATTTACACATTTTCTGGTCTCTGTGTGTCCAACCACACAGTTTATTGTTCACGATATTTCATTTTCATTAGTGATATTATATATACTGTGCCTTGACAAGTTTTTAGTAGTAAAGAAGTTAAAAAAAAAAATCAAAACTAATCTGGTCCATGACTTTTTTTTTTTTTTTGGCCATGTCATGCAGCTTGTAGGATCTTGGTTTCCTGACCAAGGCTCGAACTCAGGCCTTTGACAGTAAAAGCCTGGAATCATAACCACTGTGGTCCATAACATTTTTGTTAGGTGAGAATGAAAGTTGTATTTCAAGCCACATTTTAACCTAATTGATTAAAATTTGACAATGGATCAGAACAAGTTCAAGACAGTCTATTTTGATGTATCTCATTCTACCTTACCTATTGTGATCAATCATCTATTCACTCATTTATTTACAGAAGCAAACATGTTTTAAACATCAGGATCAGTGAATAGAGAGGACTACTGATAGAGGCATTAAGACTGTGTCTCTACGGATCTTCAGGACTGAATCAGAAACAAGACTCACCTGGGACCCAGGAATTGCACCAATATTCACTGGGGCATTTTTTGTTTTTAGGATTTTGAGCAGTTTTCTCAGGCCATATGAACAGGTGAATTATAACTTGATCAAAGCTGGGTAGACTTAAGAGGTAGTTACGGGCTTCCCGTGTGGCCCAGCTGGTAAAGAACCTGCTCGCAATGCGGGAGACCTGGGTTCGATCCTTGGGTTGGGAAGATCCCCTGGAGAAGGGAAAGGCTACCCACTCCAGCATTCTGGCCTGGAGAATTCCATGGACCGCATAGTCCACGTGGTCGCAGAGTCGGACACGACTGAGCGACTTCCACGCCACTGCTTTATCAGCGTCATTGTTGCAATTCTTTTTTCAGCCTCGAAGGTCTTCAGAGATCAGTTTTACTGGTATGGGTGAGACCTGGGCTCCTCACCTGGAGCTGGACTGCTGATGAGCATCTTGCCTTCAGCGCGCCGAAACCGCTAGCTGTGACCTTGGGTCCACGTCTCTAAGCACTAGGTCACTCGTGTGTTGAACAAGGGATCCTATCAAGGTTTCCTCACAGGCCGTAAGAAGATGCACCGCCACAACGATAGCGGAGCACTAAACTACTGGTTGAGATGTTAACTCTTCAAATATTAAGAACTAAAATGTCGTCTCTGTAAAGAAGTCTCAGGATTTCAGTGAAGGGGGCCCGAACAGACCCTCTGGATCTGGAGCCTCCAGCTCGTCCCGGATCCGCTGTGGCTCACCGCCTCCCTTGGCCCCGTCCCCGCCTTTGCTCCGAGTCCCGGGGGCTGACCTGTAAGGGCTCCCGTTCTGATGCCCTTTGCTTTCCCAGCGCTTGCGGCCAGAGGCGCAGAGACGGGTGTCAGCGTGCCGATTCTCCTGGCTCCTTCCTGCAGGCTTTGCGGAGTCCAGCCGCGTCTCCTCTCACGGAGACCACATTTCCTAGCAGGGACTGCCGATTCCAGGGCCCCCACGGCTCACCTCTTCTGGCTGACGACGGCACCCTGCCGACACACGGTTTAGCTACCACTCCCCACTGTAGTTTCAGGCTAACCTGCTCATACCCTTGGAGTGTGTTCTTATCAAATTCTCGAATCGACTGTGCCATCTATTCCCTGACAGACTGGCTGAAATGCCAGGTCTGTATCACTAAGATGGTGTCTTATGTGAGGCCTGAAAAACAGCTTTAAGTGAAGGGGGGAATTACAAGAAAGAGAATGAGTCAACCAGGGTTTGGGAGCACATCAAGTTATAGAATTGCCTGAACTGGCGTGTACTTTGGCTGAGATGCTCAGAATTATCTTTGTATGACAGAGACAGACTTGTATTCTCTCTTTTTATGACTGATGCGGTTTTTAAAAAGTATATTGGGAGAACAAGTTGCTCAGTCTGACGACGGCACCCTGCCGACACACGGTTTAGCTACCACTCCCCACTGTAGTTTCAGGCTAACCTGCTCATACCCTTGGAGTGTGTTCTTATCAAATTCTTCTCGAATCGACTGTGCCATCTATTCCCTGACAGACTGGCTGAAACGCCAGGTCTGTATCACTAAGATGGTGTCTTACGTGAGGCCTGAAAAACAGCTTTAAGTGGAGGGGGGAATTACAAGAAAGAGAATGAGTCAACCAGGGTTTGGGAGCACATCAAGTTATATAATTCCCTGAACTGGCGTGTACTTTGGCTGAGATGCTCAGATAGAATTATCTTTGTATGACAGAGACAGACTTGTATTCTCTCTTTTTATGACTGATGCGGTTTTTAAAAAGTATATTGGGAGAACAAGTTGCTCAGTGGAACTTGGAATTTTCTCATTATAGGTGTTGGTCCTTTTTCTCCTAAGTTACCTAGCCATCAGCTATATTTATTCCATTCTTGGGACACAGTACCTGATATAGTGCCAAGCGATCAGGCTCTCAGTAAATATATTGCATGAACATATGATCAACTTAAAAGGGTTCATCCATGTAATATGTATTTCATTCCTTCTTGATAACTGAACACCACTCCAGTTTATAGATGTATCACATTTGTCCATTTATCACCTGATGGATGTCAGTTGATTTCACTTTTTGGTATTGTAAAGAAAGCTCTTATGAATATTTATGTACAAGTTTTTGTGTAGACATGTTTTCAATTCTCTTGGGTATATACCTACTAGTGGAATTGATGGGTCAAACTACCTTTAACTTTTTAAGGAACTGCCAAATTGTTTTTCAAAGTGACTTAACACCATTTTACATTCCTACCAGCAGTGTATGGATATTTCATCTTTCCATACCCTATCCAATACATTACCTTTTCCACTGCCATTTCACTGTGGTTTAGTTTGCATGTTCCTAATGACAAGTGGTGTTAACCATCTTTTCACGTGCTTATTGGCCATTTGTATGTATCTTCATAGGAGATATGTATATTCAGAACCCTTGCCCACTTTTAAGTAGGTTATTTGTGCTTTAATTAACTAGGTTGTCTTTATTACTGAGTTGTAAAAGATCTATATATTCTGCCTACAACTCTTTTATCAGATATGTAATTTGTAAGTATTTCCTCTCATTCTGCGGGTTTTTTGTTCTTTATGTTGCTTTTGGAAACACAGAAGTTTTTAACTGATGAAGAAGTAAATTTATCTTTATCAGTTATACTTTCCAGTGTCATATTTAAAAATCTATTGTTTTAACCCAAGATTTACTGTTTTCTTCCAAGAGTTTTGTAGTTTTAGCTCTTCCATTTATTTTGAATTACCTTTTGCACATGGTATAAAAGTATGGGTCCAACTTCATTCTTTTGGATGTGGATATCCTAGTGACTCAGAATAATTTGTCAAAATGGCTATTCTTTTCTTATTATCTTAGCACCCTTGTTAAAAAATCAACTGACCACAAATGTAAGCATTGTTTGCATTTCTGTAAGAACTTTAGGATAAGGTTGTCCCTTTCTGCAGAGGTCACCTGAGACTTGGTTAGGAATTGCAATGGACTCGTAGGTCCATCTGGGAAGTATTGCCATCTTAACATTGATTCCTCCACTTCATTATCATGGAGTATCTATCTTCCCAGTTATTTAGAACTTTTAAAATTTCTTCCACTAATGTACTGTAGTCTGCAGAGTACAAGTCTGGCACTTAGTTTTTAAAATTTATTCCTAAGGGTTTGTTTCTGATTGAAAATAAAATTGTTTTTTAAATTTCAGAGTGTTGCTAGTGTGTAGAGAGTTGATTTTCATATACTGATCTTGTTTCCTGCAACCTTGCTGAAACTGTTCCTAACATTTGTTTGGTTTGTAGCTTTTACTGTGTGACCTGCTACAAAATATTAAAAACCCAAGTTACTTAATCCTGTTTGAACACTTTAGAATAGTAAAATAATTTATATTTCATTTTAATTGATATCCCAATTCAAACACAAATTATTTGGACTAAATTTCTTTTGCATCCAAAACTATTGTTTAGGACACTCAACTTGTAGTGCAAAAATAAAACATTTCCCCTAAATGAAAAAATGTATTTAGTTTTTACTTGGTCTAACTTATGAATGATACATTCAGTCTCACTGCTCAATAATATTTGATATGTCAGATTTATCTTATATAATGACTAGTGGGAAGCCACCATGCCACCTTATTTAGCCACACTACTTTGCTTTTGGCTCAGATGGTAAAGCATCTGCCTACAACGTAGAAGACCCAGGTTCAATCCCTGGGTTGGGAAGATCCCCTGAAGAAGGCAATGGCAACCCACTCCAGTACTCTTGCCTGGAGAGTCCCATGGACAGAGGAGCCCGTCAGAGTCCACGGGGTCGTGAAGAGTCGGACATGACCGAACGACTTCCCTTTTCACTTAGCTTTTGTAATGAGGTCACTGTTCATAAACAATCAACATCTGTTCACTGTTAAAAGAGAAACTGTAGCGTTCCTCCTCTCCTTGAACGATGGAACTATAGGAGCATGTATGTTAAAAGTGTGAATGTACAAAATGCTGGACAAAAATTTTGGATCACATGTCACTTTTACTTCATCACTGGTTGTCCCTTTCATTCACTAGATCAAATGGATTTTTTGGATGAGTTCTGGTCAGTTCCATGACAGAACTATCTTTTATATGGGTATTAGGCATGTAACATTTTCTTGGCATTCTGAGTCAAGCAGAAAAGCCCTAGTGTCAAGGCAAAAAAAAAAAAAAAAGTTCTGTTAAAGAAAAAAACACCCAGAAAAGCGTCTTGAATAAACTGGAGAAAGATGCAAAAAGCAAGTTAAAACACTTAACAGAAACTTAACATTTATTGTGCAACTTTATCTCCAACAGAACATGTGGCATTCTAGAGGTATATGAAGTAATAAAATCAATACTCCAATTAGAACACCTGAATAACTGGCTCTAGTAACAAATGTTTCTTATAATTAAAAATATTGAATGTTTAAAAAACTCTTATAACATTTTAAGTTCCTAAAAGAAATGTGCCTAACACTTAAAAAACAACTTACTCTTCTATATAAATTGTTCACAAAAAATCTTGCTATCCTGTATTACACTATGCATTTATAGTTTTATTAACGTATCTCTAGTGGGTATTAACTCTACACAGTACAATCAAATAGAAATTATTCATAGAGAATCAACGAGACTTCAACAATAAAAATATCTGGATCAATGAATTTGTCACAGTTTCTGCACACGTGTTCTTCATAGAAAAGAGAGTAAAGGCAAGTTGGCCCCAGTGTCAGGCTGCTACAGAAGTCCCAGAGAGGACACACACACATAGGCAATGCTTAAATGGGGCAGGGTCGGACCGGAGCAGCCACCTCCAAGGTTTCAGGACCCCTCTCGTGGCCTGGCATGTCCTGTTCCCTAGACACTAAGCCAGGCTCTGATGGCTGAGGCAAGCTCTTGAAACTTAAAACACAGCCAAAAGTGTTAACAGCCACAACTACAGGAGAATATCAACAGATTACTGTATTCTCCTACAAAATCTTCACGACAATTCTCACAGTGACATCATGGTTAAAACCCTCTCTTCCAAACCAGACTCATCAGATCTAAGGCTACGAATACAACAAACGCGAAAAGTGAATGAATGCTGGCTGACCCGTGTCCAGTGCCACGTCTAACATCTATCTGCTCCCAAAGAACACACTTCAGTGAGTTCAAAGTTTTGCTTTTATATCCCTGCATTTTTGGACTGGGAACCCTATGATGGAAATGTGAATTGTCATGTCATTTTAGTCAGTACTTCGATTAAACAAATCTATCCTAAAGTGTTGATGGGTTTTGAGAACTGGAGAAAACTGGAACTACTGGAGAAAATGGAACGAGTCATTCCACTTTCTAAACCCAAAGATTTCCCCTTGCTAGCTGAGTAATCAGCTCAATAAAATGGGGTAACAATAACAGCCTAGGGGGTGCTTGTGAGGACTAAAGTGAGAGGAGGCATAAAGTGCTTAGCAGAACACCTGGCACACAGCTATTGCCAGTGGTTCTGGACGGGCCTGAACAATTGCCCAACGCAGGCAAGACCCATCAGGCTGCTTGTTTGTACTGGGGCCGTTCTGACAATGAGCTGCTTTTGAGTAAGTCATCTCAGCAGATGTGTTTTTTACTGTAATTTGGGGAACTGTGATTGCATGAAAGCCTAGTGCTTGTATTAGCCAGTTGTGGACAGTCACGAGGAAATTTAATCTGGTACTTTTACCACAAAGGTACGGCAGTTTAGTGCTATCAGTAAGCCATACTGACCAAGCTGGTGGTTAGATGAGTGAAGTCCTCTGAATGTTCTTTGCAACTGAACACACCATGCAGGGTAAACGTGGTCCCTAACAGGCAAATATACTCATTACAGCTTTGAATTTTAAGAAGGACTCAAGTACTGGTGAGTTATTACTTTTGCACTTCATGTTGTCCAGCATTAATTCTTCACTGTCCTAACCACTGGCTGATAATTCAACTGCAGAGGGCCCTCGACTGGGTGGCATTTTCCTACATTATTTCAAGTGAAGTGGTTATTTTTATCTAGTCCTTACATGACTGAAAGAAGCCATCACTATGTTTACAAAAATATATCATAATGATACATACTGCTGTTTAGAGACATTTACACTAGCGTTCTGACTCAAGCATCCTATTTGACATGTTTTGCCAAGCAGTTTTGGCAAGTGTCACCACATTAAACACACACCAGCAAGACTTGCACCATATGCTGAAAATCACTATTACATTTTTAAAAACTGGTATAGAAGAGCTGTCAAAAATTACAAGCATTTGTATGGTGAAATGACATAGCACTGATGAGCAAAGTTTAAATCTTTTCTAAAAATGAAGCTATCCAAGAATGAGACTTTTTTAAAATGAATGAAATCTAAGAAAAACTAAGGAGGTAGTCTGTGGCATTAGGGTAAGGTTCCAGAGTATGTGTTGAATGACAGAATTCAAACGAGGGCAAGATTCATTCCTTTTTCTGAAAACTGCACCTTTCCTACTTGATACTCCATCTGTTTTCTGATCGCATCAGGAGGTCAAGCCATTAAAAGTGCCAGGAAAATGCAGACATCATGAACTTGCAGATTCCCAAGTCTGTATTGTTGTCGAGATTTTGGGGAGAAAATCTGCTGTTACAAGAACTTACTGGACTGAACTGTCCCTATCGCTATCTGACAGGTGGAGAAGCTGGGTCAAGTAACATATTAATGTGTCACCTTGTAATTCTGATGAAGGTCAATGTGCTAATGACTGACAAGAGACTACACAGTCAGTGTTTATGACTAAATGAAAGATCCAGAATATGAAATCACCCACGTGCTCTATAGCTGTGAAGTAGCCACATACACAACCTCTCTCAATTTCCCTATCAAAAAAGATGATGACTTTTTTTTTTTTAAACAAATGCTCTAATGTCATCCTCTCCATTCCCAGTGAAGCCTAAACAGCAGCAGCCTTTAATAAAAGCTGCCCATTTAGCCCTAAGCTTTACAAAGAACACAGTTATCTGGATTAGGGTGATAAAGGAGGCCGCCCCTTCTACCCACACTTGAAGCAGAAACAGATTCTATCATCTCTAGGAAGCAAGTACAACAACCGGGGTGAAACATTTCCATTGGTGACAACGAGAAACAAGATTTACGCAAACTCTATAGATCAACTCAGCACAAAAAGACCCTCAGATTTCAGGGAAATGGCAAGCCTGTTGCATAGTTGTCGGAATGGCCTCGAAGCTGTGTGTACGCGGATTCCGGAACAAGCTCCGGGAACACCATTGGCCTCACCACTTGCTTGGTCCTCAGTGTACCCGACTAGCTGGCCAAGATTCTCGTGTTCAGCCATCACTTTGGCATTGTGTCAACAGAGCCTGGTTTAAGGCTGTGGAAATTGTGCATCTATGAACCTACAAAATCGAGCATTTGAAAATGGTTTGGGATCTTTGGATGTTTCTTGACTGACACAGTGAAAACTTTTACTGTTTGTCAACTCCAGAGATCATATAGTGCCTTCCTTATCAACACAGTAGATATTTTATTTTTTGGTAAAAAGTAACAGAAACAGCTAGCTTCCAACTCATCATTGTCTAGAGGTGACCTCTGATCTCTGGTTTCTGTTTGAGTAACAGGTTCTGTCAATGTAGACACAACATACAATGTCACCTATTCTATGTATTTGCTGAGAAGTATAAATTCAAGTCTTTGGAAAACATAAAGACAACTTATCTGAATTAAAATGAGAATGCCTGTTCCTTGTCCCTCGGGACAATGCCGTGTCTCTACCTTCTCCCATGAGCACCAAACTAATCTCCACAGGGACCAGCCCTGCTCATGAAGCAGAGCTCATCGGAAAGTATCAGACAGGTGACCAAGAATCCACCTATCTTTTTCCCACCCTCACCATCTAACTAGTCATCATCTGAAATCAAGTGTAGGTTTCTCTTTGTGTAATATAGTATTCTGAAAATCTCTGCAGGCTTCATACACTTTCCAAACAACCCAAAAATGGGCTTGTATTGGGAACTGTTTGGCAGTAGGTCGAGAGAGTTAAGGTTTAGGATGTGTAAAGTCTGACAGAGTGACATGCTTTGGATTCTAAAGTGATGGTAACAGAACATTCACCATTGGAACTCGAGAGGACCAGCTGCTCGTGTGGAAAGATTCTGTCCACTAATCACCAGATCCATCCTGGGAATTTTTATTGAAGACTTCATCCTGGGAAGGCTGGTGATCGATCCCTTCATAAAAGGAGCCTCCATTGTGCAGGAAAGTGCCCACGGCTCGCCCCTGCCGGGCATGACCCACAGCATCGCTGAACACTTTGTTTATCTGCTCCTCTGAGGGCATCCACCAGTCGGGGTTGGAGGTACAGTGCATCCTAATGAATTCTGTGGGAATATACACAACAGTGGAAAAAAAAAAGAGAGAAACAGCTGGTTTTTGCAGTGGATGGCAGAAAGGATGCTTAAACTTTTAACAGCAGCTCTATAAGGAAAGCTTTACGGGACATCAGATGTAGTGCCATGATGACATCACTTATTAGACTTTAAAACTTACACCATCTGCATTTTCTACTCATGTGCAAAAATAAAAATTATGTGGGTGATCCCTCTAAGACATGTTTGCTATGAAAGGTCAATCTGATTTGTGAGGCATGGTCTACACCATGCTAGGTTCAAAACCCTGTAGTTACATGCCCACACTTTAAGAATGCTAACTCTTTCCAGAAGCACAGTAAGTATCATTAGCATGGTATTCTTTAACTAGCTACTAATCTGTAGATTAAGTGCAAGAAAATAAACTCTCAGTAAGAACCTGCATAAGTTTTGGTTCAGAAGAGATTTCCACATTATCACAGACTGTATTTATTTCTATAATTGTGATATTTATACATCTACTGACAAATATTTTTTAGATGAGTTTTCCTCTAAATATTTAATTTCACCAGATAGCAATTAGGAAGAGATAGTGTATAAAGAGTGGTTAAGACTCCAATGAAACAATCTCAGCCTCCCTCCAACTGAGTTCAAATCAATCTTTCCTGTTTTCTCAGAGAGTCAAGGGACATGCAGAGTTCCCATACAGCTATTTCATTAACAACATGGGCATCTGAAAACTGAAGTTGAACATTCTGGAAAAAGTCCTAAGTCAAACTGTGTGTTTTTTTCTGCACGGCTGATGGAAAGTTCAGGGTGACTGCTGTTTACACACCATTTCTTCTCCAGCACTATTCCCCCTCTAAGACCACGGTTCTGGTCATAGGATTGGACTTGTCTGAGATTTATTTACGGAACCCTGATTCTATTTGCCCTTAGAAGCTGATGCTTTTAAGAACGTGGACCAGAAAAATCTCATGAACTCAACTGTGTCTATCTTAGCAGATAAACAGGGGCATTCCCTTCAATTTCATGCCTGAGGTGAGAGACTCGTTCATTTCGTCCAAGTCCCAGCTCCGGGGGCCTTCCCTGGGATGAGAACTGTGTTTATTCAGCATCTCATCCTGCAAAACTGTCACGAGCCAGATGGCTGATGGTGGGGTGCAAGCCTAGGCAACACCGAAGGACGCCCACATCCTCAAACCCAGGTCACAGTCACTACAATGCTGAACAGAGAGAAAGCAAGTGGGACCACGAGGCCTCACGTGTCTAGATCTCTCCCTGTCACGTTCCTTGCGTTCACACTTACTTACAACTGTGACCATCCTCGGATCACCTCCAGCTAAGCTGTGGGCTCCGGAAGTCAGAGACTGTTTTCTGCTCCTCTCTGCCTCTCTTGGGTTTCCCACCTCAAGTATTCATAAGTATTCCCTAACTGTCTAAGCAGGCTCCCGACCTCTGTCCAGATGCCCCACTCTCACAGGAACATAAAGCAATGAAAGAAAGGTGCGCATGAGCAGAAATCAAGGCTAAGTGTTGAGGGCCACCCTGAGAATGTACTGCTCTGGGACACCTGCACTGCCCCTCCTTAGCACCCACTGCTGTGACAGGACTTTCCCCAACACCGTGCCGGACGGTTACAAGCTCAAAGCAGAGGCCATTCTGTCACACAGATCGGAAGCATTGTCACGCCACTGACCCCCTCTTCCTGCTGGGGTCAAACCACCCCCGGGAACAGGCCAGCCTATTTGACTTCACTTCCTGAAGCACCCCGCTCTCCATCCCTCGTGTCAAAGTATCTGCAACTTCCGTGGCCTTCCTATGCTCACTGACTACAAGGAGGTCACCCTGGAGTCATCACACCGAGGCCTTCAGGAAGGGAATCCCGTTTAGGTCAAAGGCCGGCCCCAAGATTTCAGCCTTTGGGACAGATACACGGGCTCTAACCAGCTGCCCTGACACGCCAGCAGCTCCTGCCTATGCCTTCTCCACCCAAGGGCAGGGGAGGCCTGTGCGTCCTGCCCAGCTCTCCCGTGCTGGAGAGCACATGTTCTGATTGGCAGCCTGGCCAGCATCGCTGTCCCAGCGGGCCTGGCGGGCATTCCCAGGGCAGCGACACTAGCGCTTTGGGATCTAAGTTAATCCCTCAGTTTCACAGACATGCTTATTAAAATGTAAAGCGTTTAACAAGGGTTTATGGAAGGGGACAGTGAGCCCCCTTATCCCAATTCTTCATAAGCCTTGGCAAATTCCTGAATACAAACCGAGCATGCTCTCAGCAGACCCCCCCACCCCACCCCTGCTAAGCCTACCACCACTCTGGTACCTCTGTCTGCTCTGAAGATATTGGGGAATAAAGGAACCTATGGCTAGTTTGCTAAGACAGACACTGGAAATTTCCATCATCCAGACACTCTAAATAGAATTTTTAGACTGACCAACAGGGGGCGCTAGCGCACCGGTGCCAAGTTGTATTAATAATGCTGGTATCTTCATTCCAGGTGGCTTGTCAAGTACGGGCCACCTGAATCAATCACCTGGGGTGGTCACGAGGTGCAATAATGCATGCCTCCCCTGTCCTCACCCCAGACCCGCTGAATCAGAAGTGCAGGGTGGGTCTGGGAATCTCTGCTGCTAATAAATACTGTGCATGCACCTCAGTCACTGTGGGCATCAGGAGGGGGGTGCGGGAGTGAGTGTCTTTCTGATGGTGAAGGCCTTTTCAGTGATAAGGTTTTTCCACTGTGACTTCTTCACCAGGAACTACTTTGATTCCTATCAGGAGTAAATCATTACTAAGTCTTTCCAACCAATTAAATCACTGAAACTATACAGGTTAAGTCTTTCCAACCAATAAAGTTACTCTTGAACCATATACACGTTAATGTTTTGACATGGAGTTTTCAGGTGCGAGTGGAGTGCATGTTGGAGCCGTAATCTTTCCACTGGTCTGTGCTGGCTTGCACCCACCTAATCAATCATACACATCTGGCTTCTTCCTCCTCACCCTCTGCCTGGCCTATCCGCTGTGTGGATCAGCTTCAGAGTAATCAGCTGTTAATACCGATGAAATGGTGTTATCTGAGCAGTATTTTTTAAATATGGAAACTTAAAAAAAACTGGAACAGACTCTGACTGGGCAAGAAATACTTTAGGCCTATGGAAAATTTACCAAATAAATTTAAGGAGCGGGGCAAGTACTCTCGACAAGGGCAGCTAGACTGGGGAAGGGCGCCACAGGCTTCACATGGAAACGGGGTGAATTTTAAAATCCCTTCTTTCCCTCTGTGCTTTGCCCAGTGTTCCAGTTTTCCTGGAGGTGGCCTTCCCAGGCAGCAAAGAAAATCTGAACTTAAAGCGTGAAACATGAGGTGCTATGCAGCGCTTACGTGCCACCAAGTGCCAAAGCAAACAAGGAATTTTTGAAGAACTTCTCGATACCAAAGAGATGGGCTACATGAAGCCTATAAAGTCTCAGCGGAAAAAACCAAAATACAGTCAAGGCTGAACACTTGCATGGGGAGCCACAGCCAATGCGGTGAAATGAGATCACAGATGGACACTGAGCGGAAGGATGCAGTACCTCGGAGGCATGTTACTTTAACTGGATCCAGAGGGCGTCTTTCAGGACCTGTCTCTCCTGACTGCACTGACCTTTTCCTTTTTCCAAGGCCGCATGAGTACTTAAGCTCATCGGTAGTGAAAACAAATCTGATGAGGTATCGAAGGAGCCGCCTCCCATCTTTCTTGGAAGAATTTACAGCCTCATCCCACTGTTTGCTCGTTATGTAGACAGGATAGTTGTTCAACAGCTGCTTGCTTCCCTGGAAAAGCGAAACATTTTCTCATTACCTACTGAGCTGGCCAGCCGGCAGTCCGGGCGATCTCCATTTCAAAGGCAAACATGCTTTTTAACCAAGTGGCTATGCTGACAATGAACCGGGTACTGACGAGCACAAGTAATTGCTCACTCTCAAAACGGGCACTTTTCAAATTACATTTGCATTTTCTATAACAAGAGCCAATGAGGTTTAATGAACACCTTTGAAAGAAGAGCTATTTATAACCTGCATTTTAACAGGTAGGTTAAAACGTGTCAAGATCCAATGACAAGAAACACTATTTAAATATAACCTGTAACTTTCCTTTTCAATCTATTAAAATATGCAAAAATGACTTTGAAGAGTGTGATCAAACAGGTCTCCTCATCCTTTGGTTGGCGGTTAAGTACTTTTAGAAATGACGCTGGTGGGTTATTTCCATCAAGTATTTTTTTCGTGTGTTTAAGGTACTTAATATCTGATAGCTGCTGCATTTCAGTGAAACAATATTAAAAATGAATTTTAAAAAGGTGGAATTGTGGAAACAGAAAAAAATAATCACTAATAATAATGCAAAACAAGTTTCCTCAAATTATAGCTTCTGCAAATGCCACTATTTTATCAACTCAAAATTTTTCTTACTTTTCACCTTTATAATTTATGTCTGCTATAAAATTCCCAGGCTAAATAGCTGCAATGGGACTAATTACAGGAATTTCTGTAACATTTATAAGCCATGTTTAGTCAACTGCACCTACACAACCATTATTTTACTTCTGGTTGTCCATAAAATTCTACAGTCCAGGACAAATTAATTAACCCATGATCGCAGTTTTAGTGTACTTCTTCCTCAGTAATTAAGGTGTACAAAATAAAGAAGGGAAACTCATTCAGTTTTACAACTTTGAAAGTTTACTGTAGGTTATAAATTGGCACTGTTTGGGTCTCACGGGTTTTTATTTTAAAAAGTGCTCTTTTTACTTAAGGTCTGAGAAGGGCAAACGGTACAGGAGCCGACAGGAAAGGAAGAGGCAGCAGATACAGCTATGAATCTGTCACTGAACTACAGCCACAGAAACTCATCACCGCAGCTTCACTCCCGTGACGCAGGAGTGTGACTGAATGTCCTTTTTATAGGAAGCAACTGAGGGACGAAGTTTGAGGTCTGAATTTAGTCAGTTTGGGTTTGAACTGAATCTTAGTTCTGCATCTTACCTGGTGCTTCTTGAGCAAGTTACTTCAACTGAGAGGAAGAACTAAGTTATCCTAGGTTTAAACTGTGAGTGTCTGGGAGCACAGGCCGCCCTTGGCTGTGTCCTACATGTGGTGAGAAGATGGGCAGGAGCGCAGAGGTTCCTAAGGCCCGGGGCCCAGGCTGCTGCGTCACGGCAGGAGCGGCGAGACAGAGGGCTGACTGGCGCGTGTGGCAGTGCAGACAGAAAAGCGAGGGTGAAAGACATGAAACCACGGGGTCAGGCAAGCACCCCGGGAGCCAGGCTACGGGGACCGCGGCGTGGCTGATTCCCAGCTGAAACAAGGCGTCCTCCACAAAGCTAAGGCACAGAGGGTCGGGCTGGGGGACGGAGGCGGCAGATGCCAGTGAGGAACGGTGTCTGTCCCACGGCGGGTGCAAGGGACTCGCCTGGAGGTCCAGGGGTGACGACTGCGCTCCCAGAGCAGGGGACGCAGGTTCGACCCCCGGCCCGGGAGGACCCCACACACTGCAGAGCAGCTAAAGCCGTGGGCCCACACTCTAGAGCCTGGGTGCTGCAACGAGAAGCCGCCACAGTGAGCCCACACGCCCCAACGAAGAGCGGCCCCTGCTCGCCTCACCCGGAGAAAGCCCGTGCACAGCAGTGAAGACCGGCCCAGTCAAAGCTAACAGAGAAAGAGAAAAAGGAAGGAATGGGGAACCAGAAGGGTCCTGACACAAAGGCCCAGAGCGGAGGGCAGGGGCAGGAGGGAGCGGAGGCGAGGCTCTGGGGACGAGGAGGGCTGGGAGAACGGGCCCTGGACGGGACAGCTGGGAGAGGGGCCTGCGCTGGGCGGGGGGCTCTCTCGGAGCGGTCTGATGAGCAGAGGCGGCGCGGCCGGACCGCAGACAGGGCAGGGCGGGCGCAGAGCCGACGGACGGAAGAGTGGAGAAGTGAATACAGACCCGGCCCGTCCCTCAAGGGCTTGATCGCCGAGGTTACCACTCAGCAGGCGCCTTCAACAACGGGCAACAGGACTGACCCCCGGACCCACCCTCCAAGGAGCAGCAGGCTGCGGCGTGCGCGAGGATGGACGAGCCGCAGGGTGCTGTGGGGGGTGGAGGGAGAAAGAAAAGATGACCTTGAGGGAGGAAGGGGGCATCAAGGAGGGGAGGGTTTTCAGAGTGGAAAGACTTGGAACAAACACCGTCTCTGCCTGAGGGAGTGACAGGTGCTGCTGCTGCTGAGTCGCTTCAGTCGTGTCCGCCTCTGTGCGACCCCATAGACGGCAGCCCACCAGGCTCCCCCGTCCCTGGGATTCTCCAGGCAAGAACACTGGAGTGGGCTGCCGTTTCCCTCTCCAGTGCATGCATGCACGCTAAGTTGCTCAGTCGTGTCTGACTCTGTGAGACCCTACGGTCAGCAGCCCACCAGGCTCCTCTGTCCACTGGATTCTCTAGGCAAGAACACTGGAGTGGGTTGCCATTTCCTTCTCCAAATGACAGGTGGGTTCTCCCATTTCAGGTCCCTCTGAGCCAAAAGAATGGCGGGAGACTTGCCCACAGAATTAAACTTCTGTTTCTCCCCCTCAGAGTACACAGGCGAATGTACTTCATGATGCATGACCTTTCTCCACAGGATATATACGCATTCATAAACCTCAGCGTCTACCGTGTCTTCTGCTAGCCCATCTGTCCTGGGGTATAGATGGCTGAAGTACCGGATGCTTCACCTTAAGGACACGCCACACTGCGCACCGTCTCCCTTGCCATGGAGACCTACCTCGGCCGGCTGGTCGGCAGGCTGCGGGACCGCCAGCTGGTTATGATGCTGCAGCACCGTCTTCAGGTAATCCAACACGGCCTGGCAGGGCACTGGATGGAAGAAATCGCAACAACCGCACGTGAGCTGAACTGTGCTGGGAAAATAGAAAGCTTCAAAGGTTTAAAAAGATTTTTGATGTAAACATCTAAAAAAAACTGACTCATTTTCTAAAGGAAATAGGATCTTCTTTCATTTGACATCCGCAGTTATTTCAGTTTGTAAACATGGAACAGATGCTACAGTTTGGGGAGAAATTTTGGGTTCAGCACAATTTAAGTCAAACTGACTCTAAGATGAATTTGGGTCAATAATAATGTCACACTGAACAACTCACAGAACAGACATGTGGTCTTTGATTCAAGTTGTAACCTGAGCACCCAATGGTGCTTTTGAAAACTAAGGTACTGAAGACTATAATGCCTCACTCATTTTAAATTGATGATACAGTGGTCCTTATTAGTGCCATTCATCCCTAGTTCTTCAGGAAAGCAGTAAGTCATGCACTTTAGACCTACTTCCTGACATGGACATGCCTTACCATGTAGCTCATCCCCCATCCAGACACTCACCTGATCTGGTCCAATTCCGATTCAGTTAGTATGTATATCATTAACTGTTGTACTATATTTTTTGAGGCATAGTTTTATAGAACTATTGAATAATTACAATGAAACTGAACATACGAGCCCAATATAGAGCCTGACATATTTTTGTACCACTGCAGAAATAATTCTTACATCTTAAAATTTATGTTAGAGCCCTTTCTGGAATATTAACTAATTGCTTTTAAAGGTCTCAGTAGCTTAGTTAATAACCTAATTGACATGGATCATTGGCATTCTCTGTCCTGGCTATGTGTTTTCTTAGGATGTTTTTGTCACGTTAGAGAAAATAGTAAATATTTAACCTAAATCCTAATTTTAAAATATTATCACTGAGCTTTCTTCACTTTTTTTCTCACAATTTTTTTTTAGAGAGCAAATCAAAGTTATCCTCTTTATCCCCTGCTAATAGCTCTGGGTTTTTTAAGGTGACATTACACTGCAACATAAGAAATCAAACACACTTATAAAAAAAAAAGAAAAAAGAAAAAAAGAAATCAAACACTGTATCAACATCCTTTGGGAGGATTTGAATGATAAGTTCAAGTAGGTTAGGAAATTTTTCTTCTTGACAAGAAATATTTTCTTAAATAACATCCTTACAGATTTGTCTTACACATCGGTGTCACAGGTCACTCTTGCGTAGCTATCTGAATATATTCTTTAAAGAAGCATTTTGGGGACAACCACAAGTCAACAAAGAGAAGGCATATGTGTTTCAGTTTGAAGCAGGACTTTTACTGAGCCAAAGTTTAATAAAACTGGTCAAGTATCTCTAATTTTACCAGTCTATTAAAATGCCTAACTCACGTTAAAGTCCATCCTGATGTAACTAAATCCTGTGATTTACCATTTGGCCAGATCCCGCCCAAATTCCTCTTAAGGGGTGTACTTACAGGATAACAGTTCTATGTCCTGACAGACACTTTTACCCTGGACATGGCTGAGTAGAGAGTCTGAGTCACTGAGGGCTAGAAAATCCACTTTCTAAACCATTTCTGCTCGGGTACGCAAAGTTCAGGGAAGAGTCCGAGCGAGTTAATGGAACGACAAACAGTAACTTCCCACATGACTATAGAGTTCCATAAACAAACTGTCCAACCCACTTGCTGATGCCACAGTGAGTGAGAATGCATCTTCTGGCAACGGGAGCTGATTACAGGAAAAGAGCAGGAGACTTGAGAAGCTAATGGAGACAGGAAACAAGCTTGCTACAGAGTTCTGGCTTTTCACTAACTGTGTGGCCTTTGGGACTCCATTTAACTTCTGTGTTTAAGGGTTTCAGTGGCAGCAATGCAACTGTATCTATGTCACTGCATTGCCAAGCGACCTGTGTGAGGTATTATCCTGGATTTAGTTTGGAAGTTTTAGTAAAATTTGTAAATACTCACTGACTGATTAGGATTTGAATGAAACTCCTTTTGCTACTTTGTCCACATTTTACATATGTTTACAGAAAATATGTTGAAGAACAAAATGCTTATAAAAACTGAATATTCAATGTGACCTCAACCCTGCTAAAAATAATTATGTGCAAAGAAAAGAGACTGGAGAGGAGCTAAAATGGCGGAGGAATAGGACGGGGAGACCACTTTATCCCCTACAAATTCATCGAAAGAACACTTGAATGCTGAGCAAACTTCACAAAACAACTTCTGATTGCTAGCTGAGGACATCAGGTGCCCAGAAAAGCAGCCCGTCGTCTTCGAAAGGAGATAGGACAGAATATAAAAGATAAAAAGAGAGACAAAGACCTGGGGACAGAGACCCGTCCCAGGAAGGGAGTCGTAATAGAGGAAGTTTCCAGACACCAGGAAACCCTCTCACTGGCGGGTCTGGGGGACGTTTTCCAATCTCGGAGGGCAACCTAACTGGGAGGAAAAATAACCAAAGTGTCAATAATTAAAAATGATTTTAAAATCAAAATTATTTTTAAAAATTTAAAATAATTAAAAACTTTATCCTTTACCATCCTTGTAAAGACCAATTTAAAAAAATTTCTACAGTGGGCATGGACCATAATAACTTCAAAGTTGTTTAAAGAATGTCTACATGGCTGTTATCTCCCTTTCCTATGCCATCTATGACCTTCGGGGTTGCCTGTACAGGCTTGGAGGCAGACTCTCCCATCTCTACACCCCCAATATTCAGGCAGCAGTGCTAACCTCTGAGCAAGGGCAGCTGACCCAAACATTCTGGAAGAAAATAGAATTTCATCTGCATTTACCAGCCATGGGGCTCTACTGAAGGCAGGTGGGTCCTGTGGGCAGATACCTGGGCACAGGGCTGAAGCCAGGAACACTGAGGACAAGGCTCAGGTCTAGCTACTTAAATCAACTCTGTATTGTCTGAAAGACTTGTTAAGTAAGGTTCTTCCACGGAAAACTGCTGTTTTTGCCCTTGTTAAGGGTGCTTGGATGTCAAGTACCTATTTTCCTGGCAGATCATTGCATTAACATCTTGATCAGCTTCTCTTGTTCACTCAGCATTATTTAATCTACTCTGCTATATAATTGCTTTTAAAGACTCAAAACATTTACTCCAAATACAGCACGTACTATTTTATAGGGAGACTGAAATTATTTACCATCCTCTGATAAGCGTACCATCTGTGTGCTGTATCACCTTGGAGTGTCTGTCCTAGTCACACTGTCTCTGCAGAATGTAAGTTCCTGTATTGTGAACACCTAGAAATAAAGTGAGCTTTAAATATTACTCAGCCTACAGACACATGGCTATTCACTTGATAATGAAAATGTTCTGATTAATTTAATTGATATGTATAGATGCTGTAACAGAACATGCCTGAAACTGGGCTGGAAATCAGGGATACAAGGATGACTCTGACTTAAGTCTCTTCCCTCAAGAACCTTACACGGCCTGCCTCTCCTTGTACCAAGACAGCAGGAGAGAGAGTAAAAACTTGCCCTGCTACTGACTTCAACAGAAGCAAGCATGATGTGCTATAGAAAGTGGTTAATTTTGCCTGGGAACTGGGGTACTGAAGGATGAGCAGGAGTTCCTCGAATGGGGAAAAGGGAGGGTTATGTCCTTAGACTGGAGGGACAGCAGGAGTCAAGGGAAGGCCAGAAGCAAGTGGTAATGGATCTGCCTGCCAGTGCAGGAGACGTGGGTTCGATCCCTGGTTCAGAAGATTCCCCGGAGTAGGAAATGGCAACCCACCTCAGCATTCTTGCCTGGAAAATTCCACGGGCAGAGGAGCTGGCAGGCTACAGTCCACGGCATTGCAGAGTCAGACACGACTGAGTGAGCATGCAGAAGCAACTGCATGGAGGTTCAGGAATCACACATTGTCCAGAGGGGGTGGAGCACTCGGGGAATGGTGGGAGCTGAGGGGCGAGCCTCCAAAGAGAACAGGAAGACTTAGGTAGCGAAGGACATCATGTCGCGCCGCTCTAAGGGTGCTGGAATTTGCTCACGCACCACGCAAAGCCAAGAGGCACTCAGCAGAGGGTGATGTGGGTTTTTTCAACCGGGAGAGCCCGGGATTGAATAGATACTGCAAGAGGCCCTGTTTTGAGTCAGGCATGGATGAAAGCCGGCGGGGAGGGAGGAGGACTCCGCACCGACGGGCACATACAAGGCGGAATCAAAGGACAGAAGACGGACATGAAACAGGAACAGAGACACTTATGAATGGAGCGGAAGTTCCCCACCTGGGTAACTAACTGAATGCCGACCTCTTCACAAGGTTAAGACCACCACCACCAACCTAAGAGAACCACCAAGATTTCTGTATCCTCAGGCACAGGACAGGGGCCCCCTTGATCTCCTAGGGCTGCTCTGCGTGGAGGGTCTCCCAGAAGATCTAGCAGGCCTTCGTTGTTACTTTATGAACTCAACACTTCAGCATTCCAGTGTTACTGACCTCACGTCACAGAGAACAGAAACTGAGGCTCAGAAGGGCTAAGTAACTTGCCCAAACCACCGCTAGCAAGGAGCAGGAGCAGGAATCCAAACCCAGGCTTGACTCTAAAGCCATTTTCTTCGGCTCACGCTCTTTTGGGTCCCAGTCTCACAGCCTACAGCCAGAGTCGTGTCACTGTTACCAAATTCTAAGTCAAAGAACTCAACTGTTTACTTCCCTGTTCCTATCACTTGCTCTAATCTTTTTTACTCAGAACATACTGTGCCTCTTCACTCTCCTTAGAATGCCAGCATTAAATATGACTGCTGTGTTTCTCAGGACCGGAAGTCGACCCGAGCCTCTCCCACAGGACCGGAAGTCGACCCGAGCCTCTCCCACAGGACCGGAAGTCGACCCGAGCCTCTCCCACAGGGCCGGAAGTCGACCTGAGCCCCTCCCACAGGACCGGAAGTCGACCCGAGCCTCTCCCACAGGCACTTCCGGCACGTGTGAGCTGGAGCGCAGCGCCAGCATCGCAGGCACCGGCAGAGACACTGCAGCCACGCCAGGGCTTTCTGTT